TACATAAATTAGTTAGCATAAATCAGTTATATGACGAAAAATTAGGTGTCTATTTACTTGTGACCACTCAGTGTACATTAAAACGATTGGGTGTCAATGGTTATACAGCCGCTGTCATTTGCTTGGTAGTCAAATAAACTTAAAAGCTACCATACACAATACACAATGATGTGTTTAGTAATATGCCTAGGTTTTATTACAGTACTCATAGCCATATTTACTGGAGTGTGGCAGAACAATGTTAAATAATAATATAGAACAACAAATGGATGATCCCCATTATGAACTACTACCGTAGTTCATGATATGCTGCAAGCTCAATAAGAAGGATAGAGGTCCAAAACGTTGAGATAAAACAATGATAATATATACATTTTCTGGAGTTATAGGTCGTGGTTTTTATTTTAAAACTCTACAAGGCCTAAACTAATGCATTCTAAGTGTATACTATGATATTTGCAATAAACTGAATTAAAATGCCACCAAAGAAAACTAAACAGAGGTTGCTGAATTAGCACAAACCTTATATCATGACTGGATAATTTTAAAACTGAGGTTCCTGAATGAGCACAAACCCTTATATAATGACTGGGTAATTTTTATAAAAGATTTAAATCATAATTAACATAATATAGCACTATCATCACTACAGTATATTTATAGTGAGAGAAACAATGATTTTGTAAAGAAACAATGTATCTGTTGACTTAGTTTGTTTTTCTGAAAATTTTAAATACATACACTGCAGCCATTTGATATAGATTTTTCTTTTTTTTTGTTCCACACTGGAAAATTTGGTTTGAATTTCGCGCAAAGCTACATGAGGGCTATCTGTGCTAGCCGTCTCTAATTTAGCAGCGAAAGACTACAGGGAAGGCAGCTAGTCATCACCACCTACCGCCAACTCTTGGGCTACTCTTTTACCAACGAATAGTGGGATTGATAGTCACATTATAACCACTGGAAAATCAATCTCCAAGAGCCGTCCGTATAAAGTAGGTTACGTTGGACATCGTTCAATGATGTAAAGTATTGTTATAAAACTTCACGTTATTATGAACGATACATGTTAACCTGCCACCAATAAATGCTAAAAACATTAATAAAAATACGTTTTTGTTTTTGTAAGTATTAACTGAATATTTCAAGTACACACACATATATATATATATATATATATCTGTATATGTGTTTCATTGCGTTTCAGGTATTTTCTGAGATGTTCATCTAAGTTTTCACGAATTTCTTTTATATATTTTTCTAGTCTATGACGTAATGTTAGCTTCTGAAAAACTCGGAGTAAAAACGAAATTTTTTTTTATTATACTAATATAATTTTCCGAAAAAGCATACACCTGAAGCACAGATAAATTTATTTACTTTAGTGTTTGCCTCAGAAAAAAAAATCACTTTTATTACCAGATACCGAAATACAGTAGCTTTATTTCTTGTGTATTGCAAATTCTCCGCCTTTGTATTTATAGATCCCTGCCGTCCTGAAGGACCCTATATCCCACAAGAGCCGTTTGGTTTGTTACTTCTGGATCTTCCTTATTCAAGGCTCTCTGGACTCCTCCTGACTGCTTGAGGCATCTTCAAATCTCCCATGTCAACACAATCTTCTTTAAGTAAGCTTAAACCACAAACCCCCCAGTGGAACAGCGGTATGTCTGCAGACTTACAACGCTAGAAACCGGGTTTCGATACCCGTGGTGGGCAGAGCACAGATAGCCTTGTGTAGCTTTGTGCATACTTAAAAACAAACAAACAATAAGCCACAAAACGTCAAGTACAGCCCACACTACCATCACGAAAGGGGCGAATAGAAGCTAAAGCTTCTGAGCACCCCCAGTAATCTTATACCGAAATTCTTGCACGTTTTGAACATCTTTACTACAAGCTGTCATTTGTTACAATATGAAATTACAAGTACTATCTTGATAAGAAATACGGTGAACTACATACAGGCATATAAAATATAGTATTACATGTATAGACACTCACAAATATATAAAGTCATTGAAACAGTATAAATGAAGTTCTTAAGTCACAAGTACAAAACATGCGTATTTGTACAACTAAAGTTCCTAGAAAAAAACTATTAATTACTCATAGTATTAAACTGCGGGTAATTTATCTGTTATTGGCAATTTTATTATTAAAAATAAACATGCTAGGTAAGCTATTTTTTACAGATATACAAAGTAAAATTGTAATTAAAATAGCTTTTCTCATACCAGTAAATCAAAACATGCTAAAAAACTTAACCGAATGAATAAAACATTGGCGACATATAGTTATTTTCAATACCAGAGAGGGGCCTGCTGGCGTTTTCTTCCTCACACTTTACGTTCTATGGTTGACTTTGCTGACTATAGTTGCTATTTGAATATTTCAATCAGCTGGAATCGTTGTAAATTATACTTTCTACTTCATGGTGAGATTTTGTTCAGAGCAGGGTTTCTGCATTCTTTAGAATAAGACTGGCAATTGAAATTTAATATATTTCCTTCTTGATTATTCCTTAATGGAGCCCTACTAGCTTGTAGAGAGTTATTGTGGCAACTTTCCCATATGTTTCTCGATTTTGTGGAAATGATTGGTGTCTTTTTTGAGCTTAGAGCATTTTTCTTGCTATCATGTGGAAATAATGTGTGAGTGTATGAAATATTTTGCATGGATTTCTCATTCGATTTTTTTTTCGTGTTTGGTTTCAGAGCCTCTTTTCTATTGTACAGTAATGAGGAACCATTATGATTATGTGATTCTGCGCATCTGTGTGAAGAAACCCAGTTGTAATTGTTTAATATTCCAGGTTTTTCAAAGTTTTTAACAAATTTTGCCTGTTTACCCAAAACGGTTTCTTCATTTTCTAGTAAAGTAACACAGTTATAACTGTTTTTCACATTTTCCTTTTGACGCTGACCTTTTTCTTTCTCAACATTGAAATTATGTTTCTCTGTTAGTACAGATGGACTTTCCATTAATTGTTTTGTTTCCATTTCTTGGTTCTGTGTAAAGTTTTCCAATCCGACGCTACTGCTACTTGACAGTAAATCACATGATTCATACATGTTGTCACTAAGTTCTTTCTCAATATGACTAAAAACTGTGTCTAAGGTTAATGCTTCTTCAAGGGTTGAAGTACATTCCATCTGACTGTAGTGAGGTGAATATATGAGATCAAGAACAGAGGTTGATTCAATGTTTGGATTTTCGCATGAATTCCCTGACAATGTTGATATCTCAACAGCAGATTGTGATAACAAAACATCCGAAGCTCCGTAATTTACTTTTTTGTAAATATTGTTTTCAGGATTTATTTTAGAATGTGTTTCAAGCCATTCTTTTGGATTCATATCAAAATTCTGATTTCTAGATGAAATAGTGTTTTCAGCAACTTCTTGGAAACCATTCCACGGAATAGCACCATTCCATGGTATAAACTCATGTTGTAGTTGATAACTTGATTTCAACAGTACTTTAGAACTTTTTTTAGAACTTTTTTTTGGTTTATGTTCTTTTAATTTATTTTGTTGTCGATGTAATGCCTCTTGAAATGCCATCTGGAAAAAAATATTGAGTTTAGCAAACATTTGTTTGTCACTGAAATATTTTTGGGTTATGCTTTATTAAGCTATATATATGTATATCTAAAAGTTATTTCTGAAGTTATTCAGTTCAAATTGCATGTTGTTTCTAATCTCCAACTGAAAATTAACATTTCTGTAGGAATGACCAAATTTTCAACACAAAAAGTACAACTGGCTTAAAATTGAAACAAACAAACATTTTTTTAAAGTTTTACATGCACTTGGGGGAATATTCTGATTTATAAATTATAGGTGGGCCTACTTTATCAGTAAACCACAGTATTTAATGATATTACAGGAATTAAAAATGTAATATATAACTGTTCAACTTGTAAAATTTGTATTTTTTATTATGCTAATACTTCACTGCAATAGCGGCTTATGTCGTAGATGTTCGTAATTGACGTAATGGCAGTAAACGATAATAGTAATAAAGCTCTTAGTCTATACTTAACGTGAACTGTAAAAAAAAATATGGACTTGAAAATATAATAGGGTTTGCAGTTTGCAAGTTGTTTTTTTTTTACTTATGATTTAATACGTATTTGTATCAATTGCCATACAAGCCAACCCGGCAATTTGATGCAGACCCTCCTAAAAATTAGTCACTCCAGAAAGGTTTGGGTTGTTTTCTTTAGACAAAAAAGAAGACGTTTGGCATTATCTTTGAAGTCTAGGTCACTGGACAAGATTCGTGACCTGACCCGAGACCATGAGAGTCAACACGAAGAAGATAACTTGTGAATGTAAAGTAAAACGATGTAGCAATGAAGCATGCTTGAAATGTTCTAGATGTGGTTGTGAATGTGATGGTTTAAGTGTAGCGATTAAGCTAAACCGTGGGCGCAGGTTGAATGAGGACGGAACATATCCGAAGATATCCCAATAGATTTGATATACCGGCTGAATTGGAGATTCGTCAATTGATTACTGCATTGAAAACGAAACATAAAAAGAAGAAGAAAAAAAACAAAACGGACACAATAATCTTCAAAAATGGGGATTGGAATCATTTATAAGAAATCATTAGTCTCAATATGTTGTGATGCTGACAGCACAGTAAAGCCCAAAAATGCAGTTGATGCACGTTGCATTAGAAGTTGATTTCCCTAGTGATTCCCAAATTAAAAATGTAATTTCTGCAATAGAGAGTAAATATAAGCAAGATGAAATAATTCCCAGTATGGTAACACCATAGTATAATCCATATTGATTTCATCATGTCATATATTCGTTAATAATTAATTTTTCATGTTTTTTCATTCACCGAGATCTACCGAAATAACCCTAAATCAACGGTTTCCGACATGACCCCGTTTTGGCCATCCTCGGCTCAGTACTAAAAAATGCTGGGCTGGCTTGTATGACAGGTGTTAATCTTATTTTAAGTTACAGCGGCTCTTTGCATGACTGAAATGCTCAACAATTACTTTTCGCGGTGGGCGATAAGTAGTTCAGAGCTTTGGCTGCGAGTGAATCCAAGAGTACAACATAATTAACCTTTTAAAAGTCCATGAAATAATTTAAATTGATAGATTAAATTAAAGTCTTTCCGCCATTAGGGACGGGTACTTTTGCTGGATTTACTTAAACTTTTCCTGTCACTTGGTACGGGTACTTCTGCTTGTAGATATATAAATTAAATGTTGTAGTGTACATGAATAAGATAGCTGAAAGTAAAATGAATACTGTATAATTACAACAAATTTTGATACTATTTTAGGAAGATGGCGGCCTGTATACTTAATCTAGAAAACTATTGTGTTAGAATTTTGAAAAAAGACTTTGAAAGATATTGAGCAAAAAACTCCATTACTGTGTTTGATGTTGTATTTACAGATATAAATTTTGTCGACAAGCTGGTTAATATAAAAAAATAACATTCAATAAGTTGTGATAAAGAATATAATAAATCGTAACAGCAATAATTTATTTCAATTAATATTTTGAAGAGGTCCGGTATGGCCAGGTGGTATGGCTCGACTCGTAATCTGAGGGTCGCGGGTTCGAATCCCCGTCACACCAAACATGCCAGCCTTTGCTCTGACCATTATTACCGAACTCTATTCAGCTGGTACTATGTTTGTTTGTTTTGAATTTCGCCGTGGGGGCGTTATAATGTGACGGTCAATCCCACTATTCGTTGTTAAAGAGTAGCCTAAGAGTTGGCGGTGGATGGTGATGACTAGCTGCCTTTGCGCGAAATTCAAAACAAACAAACATAGTACCAGCTGAATGGAGTTCGGTAATAATGGTCAGAGCAAAGGTGGAGGTTGGCCTGTTTGGTGTGACGGGGATTCGAACCCGCGACCCGCAGATTGCGAGTCGAGCGCCCTAACCACCTGGCCATGCCGGGCCCTAATACCGGTTGGAAAGATACTATTGTGAGTACGTGACTTTCTATGATAGTGTTATAAATTTATAGGCTTTTGGAGAATATTATAGAAAAACAAGGCAATATAATAACTATTACTTTATTACCTTTAAACCACACTCACAAACATATTAATGCATAACTTTGCGACTAATTGCAGCCTTTAGCGGTTTGAAAATAATACTTATTATAGTCCATTTTTCGGAAAACGTAATTTAGTAATAAAGCAAAACACGAACGTAATAATATGAAGCATTTATTAAACGTTTCGGAATCTTCAAAATTCCATCTTCAATAATCTAGAAGTACAAACCTAGCATAATGATAATTACAACAGAAATATCATATAACTTGTTTACTTAGTATGTTTTACAAATCATATCACAGCCAGTCACCAGCACCAATTTCCAAATCCTGGGCTTTTCTTGTCTGATCAAGTAGTGAGATTTGACTATCACTGTTAAAGCGCACACCCGGCCTCAAAGTATGGAGCGCATTTTTGCGGTAACAAACCGCAAGCCACGAACTCTTGGATTTATAGTCTCAATACACGAAACACCCCCTCTTACTCTGCGGTAAGTCTTAGTGCTTAACGTTAAAGATCGGGTTTTGATACATGCGGTTAGCAGAATAGAGTTAGCATATTGTGTAACTTTGCGATTATCAACAAACAAATACGTTAACCAGTAGGCCACTCTCAACCCATTCTAATAGTTACAGGAGATAGTCTTTGTATACAGGTGTTAAGTATCTGCTTGTTTGTTAATTTCCGGTATAAATTCTTTCCGAGGAACTTCAGCGATACAAGTCCCTTCTTGATTAAAACTAGTTTATTCTTTCTTGATACAAACTTTGTAATACACAGAATTTCCACAGTCAGGACGTTTCTAAACTTAACTACTTTTATAATACACGTTATAAATCACAGCGATTCAGAATCTAGAAAACACACACAAGCTCGAAACACAATCGTAAATTACCCAGAATTCTCTTCATTCATTCATCCCTCAGGCTTTCCCTGCCAGGCTTATATACTAAAAAAGAGGGCGTCTCGAACGCACTAGGAAATTCATGATCATTCGAGAAATTTCCCGTACGCCGCCAGCGCCAAACGCGCCAGCAGCGTCACATCACTTCCGCTGTCGTAACACAGGAAACAATTAGGTGTCAGATTGTTTCTTAACGTGAATAATTGTAATTTTGATCCTCGTCAAAAGTCAATTTTTAAAGAAATCCAAATTTTATTTTGTATAAAATTATATATTTTGTTACAATAGTTTCTCAGTTATTTTGCTTTTCTAACATGAAACTCAAACTTTGAGTCAAAGTGCTGAGCTTTACAACGACAGTGTTAGTAACATATAAATACAATGAAATTAAAAAATAGTTACACCTTAGTAACGCAAATAATTACGTAGACCTAATGGAAAATTGATATAAATTGGTGAGCAAAAGTTTAGGAATTTTAAAAATAATTATATGAGTACTGAACGAGAAAAGAATCAGCCATGCAATGCTATGCAATTTACTAACACTAAACGCTAAGCCTACATTAAGTTAGATTCATCATAATTTCAAAATTATGTTATTTGAGTAATGTTTTGGTCTAAAGAAGATAAAAAAGGATCGGTTTTTAATTACTTTTACATATAATATATTCAGTTGGCTACTATTTGCTACTCAGCGTAAAATTAAACTGAAAAATGTAGTCTACATTGACTTAACATGTACATCTTTATGTTTAACGCTGTTACTGTTAGGACACGTTTAGGCCTGTAAAAGTGTAAGTATAACAATAACTTCAGGCAAACTTTTAGTTTTAGGTCAAACATTAAGCCTAAATTGGGGTTAAGTTGTAGTTATTTTCTGACATAAAGTGTAAGAATTTCATTTTGACAATATAATTTTTTATTAAAGAACCGAGAAGAAAGAAGTTTAATTATCTTAAGTTATAGATAACTTACCTGAGATTTCGTTATTCTTGAAGGTGTTTCTGATACGGGAATTAGGCCCGTATCCTGCTTTTGATTTTGCAAAACTAAGCGAAAACTTGTTAACTCTAGCCCTAACGTTAGGCCCACTCTTGGCTCCAGATTATTGCTATTTGTAGTTTTCCGAGAAACTCTTGTTAAAAGATCATAACGTCCTTTAACAAAAAATTCATTGCGAAATTCGTGCATGTCTGCGTTTTTCATATGGTTGAAAGTATCACGATAATTATTGCTAACTTTCTTAAATCCATAAAGGTTAAGTTGACGAATAAAACTCGTAATATTATTAGTCTTGAATATATCGATACGACTGTCCAAATATTCTCTTTGAAACTTTCTGTAGTCTATTACAATTGTTGTACCGTCGCAGTTCCACTGAATTGCTCCATTGTTACATTCGTTAACTATTTTCCACAGTTTCTGAGGAAATCTCATGGAAATAATCGTTGAACAGCACTCTGAAGCAGTAAGAAATCCTGACGAGATTGAATGTTCAGCGTTGTACATCATTGTCAATATCATCCACGAATAGGCCACACTCGTACACACACACACATCTGTTTAGTGTTGTTGCTAAGCGATCAGTTTTATACATTATACTTCCTCTTCGAAATCGTAACACGCGCGTGATAATTTTTATGAATCATTTGTACAGTTCAAGACAAACAATACACTGGGTTATAATTTTAATCCCATCTTCACGAGTCTTATATCACATAAACTACTGATAATGCTTCGCAACCTAGGTTTTATATACCTTTACACTGTGTTATTGAATTATTCTGTTTTTCTTTCTTATTGAATATTCGACTGAAACTAGTCCAATTAATTACAAAAAAGATGAAACCTAGTCCAACTATATATTAACCCTGATGAAGCCGCAAAGGCGAAACGTTGGTTGAAATAAAAATATATTCTTTTATATTTATCTGGAGTGTAAAGGTTTTTCTAAACTTTTATCAAAATGTGTAAATCCCTCCAGTATGCACTACACATTTTGGATGTCAACAAACAATGAACAATGAGTTTTTGTTTTAAGACAGTGTTCCCCATCTTCTATGGCAACAAGGTCTAGCACAGCCACGTGTGTTATTTTTGCGGGCCTAATTTTAATTTTCATCCCATAGTATCTTACCAGCCTGTATTGGCTTTGCCCGCCAAGGGCATAGCCGACACTCAAATATTGTGTGTGTGAGGGAGGAGTTATTTTTTTCCTCCCAAAAATGTGTTAATTTTCTTCTACACAAATAATTTACATTTTTTATGCGAAAGTTAATATTTATATAAAAAAGAAGAAGATAAAAGACCTTTTAGACTTTCTAGAACATTGGGGGTGTGCTGTCGTTCGAACCCTTCGGCTATGCCCCTGTTCGAGGCTATTGATAAACAAAGAATACAATGAAATATCTTTTCTATTCATTTAATTATAAAAAAAAGTGAAAAGATGTTTGGATCTAAGCTTAATTAATCAATTTTGAAGCTTTTAAACATAATAAATATGATTAATTTTTAAGGACTGGTATATATATGCCAAATTTTTAATTTATGTAATGCTTTTCTGAGATTACTATTTGCCATATAATACAGGTTCGATGATGTACACTCTTAAAATGTAAAACCAGTTTTTCATATTTTCAAATAAATAAATAAATAATAATTCATATATTGTATTTAATTGTGTTACATAAACTGAACAAAACATTTTTGCAGTGAATATTAGTGTTAAATCACTTATTGATGGCCAAACTAAAAACAAAGCGGAAGACTGAAAACCTGTTTTTGAGTCAGGAGAGTGTGATTGTGGGATTCTTTCTTTAATATCGAAAATTGCTGTTCGCAAGCCTCGTATTTCTAATGTTATAAAACTGTAAAACAGACACTGGGCACACATTATACCGTCTCAGTGACTGTTGAAAAAAGATGTTGATAAATTTTATTATACCACTGAGAATTGTATAGTATAATAAATATCTTAGGTCGTAGTTTTCTTTTCTTTTTGCAGTCGATACTAACTCACATGTGATTTGAAACTGTCATAGAAGTATTGTGTTTGTTTCGGAGTAAAATTCTCTTCACGATCAAATGTAAAATAAAGCCTACCTGTTCTTAAAGTTTACATGTACTTTGCATATTTTGAAAAAAAATCCTTCAGCCTTATCGGTTTTAAAATATTGTTAAAAGTTCATAACTCTTGGCTGCACTAGAGTGTAATAAATACAATTAATTTGGGTAGCAGTAATCGAACGCAAACGATCTACTTTAGAAGTGAAGCTCACCTCAGCAGATAAAACACCGTTGTAAAGTATAATGAAACACTTAACAGGCCACCAACGACTTTGTATACGTTTTAGCAATGTTACATTGCATAACAAATTAAACACCGGTTGCAGAGAATTTATTTGTTTGGTTGTAATTAAGCACAAAGCTATACAAAGGGCTATCTGTGCTCTGTCCACCACGGGTATCGAAACCCTGATTCTGGCGTTGTAAGTTCGCAGACATACCGCTGTGCCACTGGGGCTGCAGAGAATCTAAATGTGCCTAAAAGTCATTGAATTTAAGCTGGGGTGGTCGAAGAAAGAAACTAATAGATACTTTTAATAGAAAAACTAATGCATACATTTCGAAAAAAAAAAACCCGCCTAATATATACTTTTCGCACAGAAAACGACAAACAGATACTTTTCAATATTTATTTTACTTTTATTGTTTTGATTTCTGGCCTCACTTTTTATGACATGATGTTTCGAATTTGGACACCAAAAATTTTGAGCCTAAAAGCGGTAATCGCTTCCAAATTTAGCTTGTATTACCCCCTGGTAACTTCACATCTTTTTAGAAAGCGCGTTATATTTAATTTCATATTTTGTAAATTGGAATTGATAGTTTTATTTTAAAATATAGATATTAAAAAGTTTACACATATAGTAATTAGTGTATGTGTTACACAGTTAAACTATGGACGAGGTAAACGTGTTCAGACGAAACAATAAGAAAATGGAAAATTAAATGTTTTAGAATTTTCCACAGGTGGGGCGAATTATGAATGAATAGGAAGTGTAAAAGTTAGTGAAGTTATCTTCAGTGACGTCATGATATATTTAGCATCAGGCCAAGGAAAATCTGAAAATCAATTCATTAATGTCCAGTTCGTTCTTAATTCCTTTTGATTAAAGGGAAGGAGCTTGAGTTATTGGGTCTTTTTTGACTATCAGTCTAATTTTTGACCTTTTATAGTTTCATATAATCAGGAAAACAATCAGTTATTGTGTAAGATTAAAATAAAGTAAAAAGAGCTGCCAAGTGGCAATGCAGCATCTAGTTATTTATACGCATGAGCAAGATATTTCGATAATATTTTGTTTCTGGCATAAGTAATACGAGTTCAGATATATGATACTTTAATTGAAACTTTGCACTTGTCAAAACTACTTAATACATTGATACAATATATTCATTGATTTACATTATGAGTACTAAAAAAACGAGCTTCATAAAATCTTCTTATTTTACAGAAAACTAAACATACAATGATGCCGTTCAATTTTGTCTTATTGACATTGACTATATGAACCCCATCAAATATTATGATACTTTCTAAACCTTGCAGCAAAAGTTAGTCACATTGACAATAAGACCGAATATATATAATAATGTTACGACAGCAGAGGTCACGTGACGCTGGTAACACGTGATAAGTGTCTTGAAGGTTCATAAAGAGGCGAGTGCATTCTAGACGCCCTCTATTCTTGTATATAAACGCGGCAAATAAAGCGAGATAATTAATTGGATAGGAGACAGAGAGATAAGGAGACAGATAATCGAATCAAGCTGTAAGTAAAGTGTGTAAATCATTGTGAATTATAGTGTGTGTTGAAGATAAAGTGACTGTGGAAATTTAGTGTATTACAAAGTTGTATTGAGGAAGAATAAACTAGTTTTATTTAAAAAAGGACTTATATCGCTGAAGTTCCTCGGGAAGAATTTTTACGGGAAATTATCAAGCAAGCAAATACGTAACAATAAGAATAATACTATAGAAACCAATTTGTCAAGTCTGTGACCAACTCGTATGATAAAAGTACTAGTCCAAATAGCAACAAATGAGTGATTGAATCTATTTTGTTTTCGACATTGTTATAATTACGTATTCTGAAACGTTGTGAAATCTGTTTCCTTCAAAGGCGCCCTATAACAATGATTTGGCAGAATTTCGAAAATTTGTTAACTATGAGCTTCCAATTCGGTATTTATTATGATATTACTTCAACTCTTTGGAGTTTAACTACTTTTTAAACAAGTATTACAATTAAGAAAATCTAAAAATATAAAGTCTTCTTTCTAGTTTGGAACTTCCTTGATATCTTATCGAAGGTTCACGATGAGTGAGTTAATTTCGAGTTAACATAAGGACAACTCACTTCGCAGGGAGCTAGCTAACCCTTTAGTTTTCACTGATGAAATGCCGATTACTGGTCGAGCTTGAGTTTTTTGCCACTGAAGTTATATAATGTATTCGTAAAAGTACTAATGTTCGATGTGAATCCACTGAAGTTAAATGATTTGTAATGTTCCAAATTTATAAACGTTCCTGATCAAATATCTGAAGTTTCCCGATTAATCAGTGTTAATCACAGCTATAGCTTACGAAATTTATAGCACACCAATTACAGCAACCTAATAATATATACCGTTTTTAGGCGTGTTGCGTTGATTATATTTATAGGCGTGTGGAGAGTTTCTCGAAAATTCAGATTACATAACAATATAAAGCTACACTGGTGTTAAGGTACACACATATACTGTTGATTCTTACACTCGTGAATCTTCTCTAACTTTAGAGAATAGGCGGGAGTTTCGCAATACATATCTAACACTATAAGCTATGCATATTTCTAAATATAAACGTAATACTAAACTAACGTAGATATAAAATAAA